TTTTTTCGAGCAGCGTTTGAAGAAATAGAAATGTCGGATTTAAAAAAACCAAATCATCCTTTGTAAATTATGTAATAAATGTAAAATAAATGAGAATAATTTAAACTTAAAATTTAATAAGAAAAAATCTAACCAATAAACAGTCACATAGGTTGTTGGAAATATTTCCTATTTCTGAAATTCAATATATTTGAAAGAATCATTTGATGCCTACAATCCTCATGAAAATCTAAAGAGAGCAGGTGTTTCTCGTTGGTCCGTGAATTGGCGAATTAACAACTAGCCAGAACGCAAAATTTTCTGGTAAATAAAAGTGTACTTCCGAAATATTTAGTGAGAATTGTTCCTTTGTTAGCAAAAATATGGGTCAAGATGCTAAGGTAGGTAACTTTCTCTCTCCCTCTTTCTTTCTCTCTCTCTCTCTTTCTCTCCCTCTCGCTTAATGTCCCTCTCTCCGTCACTGACAAGTATTCGGCAAAATATCCCTAATGGAGAACAATAAAAGTAGCGAGTATACAACATATGCGTTGGGTTATTTATTACTACAATTTCCTGATGAAAAGACGGTTGATATGGCTTTCAATAAAAAAACAGATACAGAGTGACTTTGATGCATTGACCTGAAGATAGCTCTTAAGATTAATGTAATGAAACAAACAATCCGGTCCTTTGCAGAACAACGGCCGTAGTTACCCAAACACCTATTGGAGCTACATATTATATCCTGATAATTTTACATTATGTCATATATAGACGCAGTTAATTTATTTTCTAAATTAGTATGTCACTATATCATTCTTTAAAAAACAATTAATATTTTAAAATATAAACTTTCTTATGTAGATTTCCATTTAGAGGTTGAGTATTTAGTTTATTTGATCGATTTATGGTTTTAACGGCTTCTTCAGAACTATATCTAACCCGAGAAAATAAACACTTCTTTCTTCGCATCAATGTTTATAAAGATGATCTTCACTATAAAGCATTTCTGGGTGTTACTCTCTTCCAGAAAAGATTAAAGCAAAGGAAATTGCTGTCATCCGTTTTATTCGAAAACCTTCAATTAATCCGGTTTTCAAATTATATTTTTCTTGAAGATAAGGACAGATGCTAAAATGGAAGCTTTCCTTCTAAGGCTTCATGACTCTTCCACATGGAAACATTTTGCCCGAATTCCGTGGTTTTCAAGCAAAGGCTGAGTTGGCAGTTGCAAATAATTCACTGCGACTTGTATAATGGTCTTAACATTCCGTTATTATTTTTTATAGAATCTGTTACGTATTCCCACCAGGATATCATTCTCTAATCAATTAGCGACTCCACTTTGACGATTAGCATCACCGTATTTCGGAATCTGTTTCGATATTTTGGAAGCTGGAAATATTTTTGCTGATGCCGCGGTAGTGTGTTTTTGTTTTCGTCCTTTTCAGCTCCTGCAGAAAATGTCGACAAATTGTAGCTTTCGCGTTTTGCAGCAAAGTCGTTGACTCTGGGAAAGTCAAGCAAAAAGATGAAATGAAAGAAAATAAGGCTGTCAATGTTGAGCAAGAAGCGAACTGTCAAAATTCGAAATGAATTCTATAGATATAAAGATGTCTAGAGAAATGAGTAAAAGAAATTTAGAATTTGAACAAGGAGATTTTGATCTAAGAAAAACAGGAAAATCACAAATGATGACAAAAATAAAAAAGAACAAAGAAATTAAAAATTTAGAATGTGTATGTCTAGAAAAGCAAAAAATGTTCGCTTAACCAAAGGAAAGAAGTAACAAAAATCCATAAAAAATAACATAAAAAATCCATAAAAAATAAAAAAAAACAAGGAAAACAGAAGACACTCAATAAACACCAGAAAGAGACATGTACAAAAAAAAAGTTATAACCAGAAAGACTCTCCTGTAAGAGAGTAGGGACGTAGCTTCACTACGTTAGGTGTTGCTTGTTGTGGTTAGTTTTTACTGAGTGAACTTTTAACCTCACAAGCAGATGGTTTTGAATTCAGAGTTATTCTTCTCTGATATTGGTTGCCAATAAAAGCTAGGGAACACAATATGTCTTGTTATTAAACCCTTAGTGAGAGAAACGATGGCATCGTACCTTTCCAATATTATTTGAAAGAAAACGAAAGCAATGGCTGTTATTGGAACTTGAACTCGATAAGTCAATCTTACTGTGTACGCTCGGCTACGCGTACATCCCAAAGAACTGATAACATATTCACAATATCTTAATCCCATCACAAAGATATAATATTTTCTGGTGATAAGTTAAAATTCAGTATATTTTTGAAACAAACTGCTTAATGAATTGATATTTTGTATTGTATATAATTCACTTTTTACTATGCTTTTCAGAGCGCAATAATCCTTTCAATATCAGTAATTATCGACGTATTTTGAAACTAGATGGAATGGTCTTGTCAAACTCAGAGCATCGAGGTGAAGGAGATATGTGCATAAATAATTGTGGAAATGTACATTGTTCTAATTTTTCAATAAGGCGATATGATCAATTATCGATTAAAATTCTTGGAAATAAACAGTTGATTATTCCCTGACTGTAGTTGTCTTTGCTCTTTCATAAGTTGACAAAATTGCTAGTTGTAATTTATTGTGATTTTGGGAATCTATTACTTAAGGAGGGATTTTTGTAAAACCGTTGAGAGTTAAACTGAAATAAAGGAGAATGTTTTATTGCTGAAGTTTCAGAGCTAAAATTCTAGTTCTTTTATCAAAAACCAACCATTCCATGTTGCTTCTGGAAATTCGGTTTCTTTAATTGTAATATTTTACGCTGGAATAATCACAAAAATATTAACTATAAAATTCAAGAATTCTATATCAAAATGCAGTTCTTTTCATACAGACGCTGAAGTGGTTCTTCCTGGTATATGTAACTGTTCTTTTTTATTTATTTTTTTTTTAATTTTAATATATACTCTTAAGAAACAAAACAGCTTTTAAAAGAATATCAACCGGCCTAGATTGAGAAGTCTCACTAAAGAAAAATGTGCCGCCCGATTGGAATTGAACATGAATCTTTTTCCATCAGGAAAAACATTGGTTCTAAATGAAATCAGTCGATGATATCTATTTATGGTCATTTCTTCGCTCAGTTTTTTTTTTTTTTTCGTCCTTGTTGGAAGAATGAGAAACAATAAACGTTTGGCTCTTTTTGTTATTTCTTTTTTTCTTTTCCATTTCTTTGTCATATATTGATGTATATATTTATATGTACTTTTAATATATCCGTTTTTAAAGCTTTGAATAACACAGAAATTCTAGTTGTCTTAAAAGTGTTTCCTTTATTTCAAGCGTTGTTATTTCATAAGTTGACAAATGTACTTGATGAAATCCCATTTTTCCTTTCATTTCGTTGTTGGAAGTGTTACCTGATGATTCGGGGTCCTTCAAAAGGATTTTGGTTAAATAAATTATTGTAATGGTACCTTAAAGTGGTCTTTTTTTTTCATTATATATATATATATATATATATATATATATATATATATATATATATATATATATAAAGGAAAATCTTTGTAATCCGTATGGATAATCCCAATTAAATAGGTCAGTGTCTTATCCTAATCCTCTCCTGTAATAAAGAGAAAAAATAAAAGTACATTTTAAAACTTTCCCTGCCCTCTCTAAACTCGAACATGCCTCTCACACTATTCTTCACCACCCTGTATGTCAATCTATATAACTTAATTCTGCCCGTAAAAATTGTAAATTTTAAATTCATTTTTCGTTTCACCTTTGAAAGTGAAGTCTGAAGGTCCAGAGAAAAAGAAATTCTCTGGTGAAATAAATTATAACTAATGGGGCCTTAAAGTGGTCTATTTTTCTTTAAATTAATATATATATATATATATATATATATATATATATTGTCGAGGGATTTTTGACATGCATCTGAATGGTTTACAGATATATTAATTACTAAATTTTGAATATTACCACAACAACTAGTGGATGTAGAACAGGAATAAGTAGTTAAAAGGCGATAAGAATTTTACAAGATAAAAGCCTTCAAAAAAAAAAAAAAAAAAAAAAACAGAATGAAAGTAATGATTGACTAGTAAGAACTGTCCACTCTGCAAAATGGTAAAAGTCCAGAATGATATAAACGTTAAGTAAAAGTGCAAAAATATGAAAACAATGACTTCCAATGATGAGAATATAGAGGAGGGGAGGGGGGAGGGGGGGGGAGGAGGAGGGGAGGAGGAGGAGGATGGAAAAACGACAAGAAAATCATAAATTAAAAACGTTAATGAAACGAACGACAACAAAAACGGACAAGGAAGAGCAATAATCTGTCGATTAAAGACAGAAAAAAACACAATGACATACAGTAAATAAAAATAAAAAAGGATGAAAGGACAAGCAATAAGCGGAAAGAAAAATAATGTCTAATAGCAAGAATATCGCCAATTTATAAACTTTATCGAGAGGGAAAAAAAAAGGAAAATAATTTTCAGGACGAGGCTGACCAAAGAAAACAAGAAATCAAGAATTAAAGCCGTTAATGAAAAATAATAAAAATATAATGAAAGAAAAAGAAAAGTTATAAATTGTAGGAATAGATCGTTCAAAAGAAGAAAGAACAGAAAAAAAATACAAGAATGACACAAATGAAGGGAAAATAGAAAAGAAAGCCGAAGACAGACAAAGAAAATAGGAAGCAGCCGGTGAAACAAAAAGCAGGAAATCACAGTTTAAGAATTTTAATATAAATCAGAGCAAAAACGAAAGTAGAAGACATTGAACAGAATGAGGCTGGCACAGATACTGCAAGAAAATCACAAAGATTAAGAATTTAAGGAGGAAAAGAAAAGAAAGAAATCAGAGAAAAGGCAATTTACAGCGGGAAGAGGCCCGGTCAAGGAAAAGATACGAAAGTTTCAATCATAATGACTTTGAAAGATAAAAAAGGCAAGAAAGAAATGAGGCAATGAAGAATAAAGCTGGACGAAATGCAATAAGAAAATCACGAAGATTAAGACGTTAAAGAAAAAGAATGAAACCAACAACAAACAACAGGAAAATACCGGCCAAAGAAAGAAAAACGGAAGTCAATAAGATAGATATTTGAAGGAATAATAAAGAAAAAGAAATGAAAATAAATATTGATATTTATGTCACTTATCTTTCCTGTATGGAATCCTGGCTTCTACCTTTTCTGAGATATTGAAATTTGAAAATGCGTAAGTGATAATTATGTTAGGCTGGGAATTTTAAAAGATTTTGGAGAAACATTTAGAAATATGACAAATCGTAAAATAAGATTAAAGGAAAAGAAGCAATGAAAAGAATAACAAAAAACAAGAAAATCTATACATAAAGTGAAAGACGATAAGGTAGAGGAAAAGATTACGTAAAATGGGGATAAAAGACAACTGAAGGCAGATGAGGAATGGGCTGTGAAGATTCAAGGAGGAACAATGTTGTAAGAAAACAAGAGAAATACGAAAGTGCGGACAAAGAGAAAGAAGAAAAGATGGCGGATGGTAAACTGGCGTCAGGTAAAGGATGAAAAGAAAATTTTAAGAAAAGGAAATGAGAAAGGAATTGACGAAGAGAAAGTTGAAAATATGACTGAAACGTCTAAAGCTGGAATGGAGAGAGAAGAAAAATATCACGAAGATGAGATAAAGAAAGAAAGAACTAACTTTATAAATAATAGGAAACAAAAAAGGAAAGAAAAGTTAAGAAGAAGAAGAATAAGTGAAGGAGAATGAGAGATACAAATGAGAAGAAGGGACCAATCTCTGAAAGAAATGAAAATCAGAATAGTACGAATGTTAAAGAAACGAGTGAAATCCTGAAAAAAGGAAGCAAGCGAATAGCGTCAATTAGAGATTGGCCTAAGAAAACGACAAGAACATCATAATGGAGAAGGCAAGTGTAATAGGGAAAAACAGAACATAACGTTAGTAACTTGTTTAAAAGTTTGACAAAATAGGGATTAGAGGAGATAGCGAAAAGAAAAATTACTAAGAGCTACAAAGGACAGGAAATTGTGGAGAGCTATAATCACATAGGTCATGAAGGGACACGGCACATAGACGAATAATAATAATAATAATAATAATAATAATAAGAAGAAGAAGAAGAAGAAGAAGAAGAAGAAGAAGAAGAAGAAAGAGGCAATGAAGAAGAGGATTATGTTGATAAAAAAAAAAATAATCACGAACACACTCAGCTGAAGGAGAAAAAAATGAAGAACTAAGCATAAATGACAAAGATAAGATTTTTTTTCCTTTTAGTTTCAACGAAAGAAAGAATAGAATATCTGCAATATTAACAGAAAATTGACAAACAAGGCAAAAAAGGTAAATATTTGTAAAAGGAAAAAAAAAGATGTCGACGTAGAAGAAACTGATGATGAAGATGAGTCAGATGCAGCATCGTCGGTGTTGTCAGCCTGCGTGAATAGATATGTTTCTGCTCTGCTTAGTAAGCGTTCGATTGAATAATTTGATGATGTCGCATCTTTGATGACAGACGCAGGTGGCCACTGGTGACACGGCGATCAATAACTGAAAAACCTAGTGCGCGTCTGTGCCTTTTTATTGCCCAGAGGGTTGCCGGGAAGAGAACGTGCAATGAGCGCCATCTTGGTTGGGTGTGGTCCTTCTAGTTTTTCCTTTATTAGTGATGCATTTACACTTAATTGATGCCATTAACCTATTATGCAACGACGGCGAAGTAGGAGGAAATGCCGGAAAATTTGGTTTTTATTTCATCTTTTCTCAGAGAAAGAAAAGGTAAAGAAGAATTTAGAAAAATGTAAAATTCTTGATTAAGTTTCTGAAAGCAAGAAAAAAGGCGTCTTTATTGGATTTGCGTCATTGGTAGAAATTGGAACGATAGAGAAATAATTTTCGAAGTACAGAAGAAAAGAAAAATATCTGAAAAATAAAACATATTGACTCTAATGTATAAAGCTTATCCATCCCCATTTGAAACCTGAAACACATACGCATGCACACTGGAACATACAAACACGTAACTGGGAAAATATTTACCAATGTACAAGTCTGGTACAAGCCTTTAATGGTGGAGCGATTAATAAACATCGTATTTACTAATTATGTGATTACTTTGATAATTATATTTCTACAGTAAAAAAATAAGAACTAAATGTATAAATAATAGGAAACAAAAAAGAAAAGTTAAGAAGAATAAGTGAAGGAGAATGAGAAATACAAATGAGAAGAAGGGACCAATCTATGGCAGAAATGAAAACCAGAATAGCACTAATGTTAAGGAAAAGAGTGAAATCCTGAAAAAAAGAGGCAAGCGAATATATACTAAAGTATTAGGAAACAGGAAAATTTCGTTAGAAACAAAGAAAAGCGTGCTGAAAAGCTACATAATATCAGTCCTGCTCTATGGCAGAGAATGCTGGACAATTTCCTTACAAATGAATAGGAAACTTGAAGCAACGAAAATATACTTCTACAGAAGGTTACTGAGAATACCGTGAAACGTGAGCAACAAAGATTTTTTTAGGAAAATTGAAAAGAACACATTCAGAATAAAGAATAGCTGGAATTTTATAATGAAGATGGAGGGCCTGGAAATTTTGACACTAACAGGATATATCGACAGCGGGCCACGAGTCGTTATGAATGGCTGTCAGAAATAGGAGATGGAGGGATGGTAAAAATTCAAATATTACTATGAAAGCAACAGTAGATTTTGAAGGCTAATTATCGCCCACCTCCCGAATGGATAAGGCATATAAAAGAAGCCGGTACGTTATTATCGAAAAGGTTAATTTTTTATTTATCGATCATGGTGAGATTAGAAAAATGGCTTTCATGGCCTAAACGTTAACGTCTTAATCATTCGGCTACGCTCCATCCGTTTCAGCTTCATTGTCTTCATGCTTTGCTATTTACGTGATCAAATGAATCAGTGCTATTTGAGCGAAGGTGAACGAGGCGGGGCTCGGCCACAATTTGAACTTGGCACGCTGATTCAACTTAGCGCCCCGACAACCGCTACGCTAGGCCCATATCCATAAACCCAACGTATTAAACTTGCTCATAATATTCTGGAGATGTCGAGGTAAATCAATACAATTACCTCATCTTTAGGTTTATACCAAACTTAAACACGACAGGAGGCCAACTGTAAGTAAAAGAAACGTACAGGAAACATTATGTTACGTCAATTTTCCAAAGTCACTTGCTTTAAAATCAACGTTCGAAATTTTGAGTATAATTTGTTCTGGAACCGGGATTTTTTAAGATGGTGACCATTCTCGAAGTGATCCTCTCAAATGAATTCATATGTGTAAGGTGTTTAATTCTTACAAACTGCTTCATTATGTTGGCCTCGTGTCAGACTAAGCTAAGCTTATAACTATATGCAAAGATTCTGCAGAAATTCATATAATTTCATATAGATAAAGGATTTATGACATCTCTGTTCATCCTTTTTGACAATAATAACGAAATATATATTTATAGCGGATTTATACATTGAACTGTTACTATTGGGGATAGTCTATTGACGAGTCGCATAAAATAGATATTGGGATAGTTGTTTGCCTAAGTTATCACTCACCCTCTCTCCGTCAACAATCGTGGCATACCAATGATGAGATCAATCTTTCAGGGACAATGCATTACCGTAAACCGCACGTACGTTCCGTCACAATTAACAACCGCTTTAATGAGTTTCAAAGGAATGTGCTGCTGATATTAAGTTTTTAAGAAATCCAAATCCATCCCTTATATATATTCAAGACTTCAATGATGCATGTTCTTGGCTCAAAGTTCTTACGAAGATCAACAAGCTGACTACATCTAGGACAAATATCATCTCATCACTTCTGATGCTACCTACAAAGATTCTGCTTTAGTTTGAGCAATTGTCCAGGAGATCAGCGAGAGAAAATCAACAAACAAATCCAAGTTAAAGTTTAATATTCAGACTGAAAGGCTGAATAAATGACAAGTTAAAAAAAAAATTCTCTTGGGAAATGTACCTGACATTTTAGATAATGAGATCAAACAAAAATCATTGAACATCCTCTTGACATTAAACCTGTAAACTTTACAGGTGCAAAAAGCTTTAAAAATGAGAAAGAAGAGGGACTTGAATCATTCCTCCGGAGGTTTGGAAGACTCAGGATTTTAAAGATATTCGACTGTAACGACATATATAATGGAGAAGTCATAGAATGATTGACAGAAGGCAGAATACTTCCTTTCCCAAAGAAAAGAGATCTAGGAACGGCAAAAAAAGTACAAAGGATTCACAGTTATCTCCATTGCAGCAAAAGATTTACAATTCAATGCTTCTCAACAGAATACAACCGGAAATAGAAAAGGTGCTCCGAAAAATCACAATGGCTTTCGAATAAATAGATCAGCCTTTGGAAAAACCCTGTCCTGTTGGCGGATTATTCAGCAAAGACCGCCTTACATTTGTAGATTTCTCTAAAACCTTTTGATTCTGTACACAGGAAAAACGGAAATGATCCTTCTGGCATATGGCATATCTGACATGAGACAGTAACAACCAGACCCGATGATATACAAAAAACACCAAATCTATGGATATATCTCGAGACGGAGACACTAACTTTTTCAACATCAAAGCAGGGGCCCCTCAGGGTGGCATTCTTGCACCCTTTTTTTCCCTTTTTATCAACCATATTGAGAACTTATCTCGACAAACAGCATCATGAAGGTTTTACTTTATCACCAAGACTCTCAAGTCGATATCCTGCAAAAATAGTTGACAGATATTTAATATTAAGGTGACTTCGCTATCATTGCAGACACCATTACCAATGTCACAGTAACCCTACATCATCTAGAAAATGCTGTCAATGATATCGGACTCATTTGTTTCTGTGTCGCGCCAGCAATTTTTTTTCTCGCCCGAGTCCATCCTTCAAATCTATAAATCAACCATTCACCCTTGCATGGAACATTGCTGTCATATATGGCCTGGAGACCCCGCTGTTCGTCTTAA